TGGCAAGCTGGGAGCCGGTGTGGCCCCAGGGTCCGAGGCCACCGTCCAGCTCCCTCCCGGGGATGTAGGGAAAGCAGCCAGCACCTCCACCACGTGCTCTCACGTGGGGAAGGGGGGACGGGGCACGCGAGGGGCGGGTGAGGGACCTCCACCACGTGCTCTCACGTGGGGAAGGGGGGACGGGGCACGCGAGGGGTGGGTGAGGGACCTCCACCACGTGCTCTCACGTGGGGAAGGGGGGACGGGGCACGCGAGGGGCGGGTGAGGGGGAACAGGGGAGAGACGCAGTATAGCTTCCAGCCTCCATATGCTGTGGCCTCAGAGAAAATCCAAGTTAAGAATATCTTCTAAAAAATTTTTTTAAAATCACACCTTTATGAAAACCTCAGGCACCTAGGAATTAAGAAAACAAGAAATCTCCTGATATTAAGATTGCAACTGGTATTTGATTTCTGGGTAATTCAAGTAATTCTGGTCTTTAAAAAGTGAGACTGCGTTTTCCCAGAATGAGTGTTTGCTTTTGCGGAGAGCGGCAGACCAGGGCAGACGGGCTCGATGCCGCCAAGCTTCAGGCACAGTCTTCGGGCAGAGGGACAAGTCAGGGAGAGGGACACACAAATAAAACCAGTCCCCAGCAACGGTCAGAGGCTGAGACCTTCAAACTGTGAGGATGCAAACGTAATGAAACGTTGAAGATAAACACGCCTCTTTTTTTTAACCCAAATCTCCAACTCTGGACAAACAACTGAAATGATTCAAACTTATACCATAGGCAGATTTTGTCTTCGCTTAACAACGAGGCATTTCAGGCAAGAAGCACTTCCGTGGGGAGCAGAACAAATTCCAACAGCTCACCAAACGCTGAGCCAGCTCCTCAACCCCAAGCTGCAAACACCCAGGCGCCCAGCGACGGTGGGACGCGCGCGGTAGAGACAAACCCCTTCCCTGCTGCCCGCCCGCCGCGCGCTCTCCTGCCTCACATCTACGCGCCGCACCCCCGTCACCTGCCGCACCAGGCCGCCCACGCACCTTCTTCCCGGTCTCCATCACACCAGCCTCTTCTCAGAGGACTTTCGGGGACTCTCCAATAAGAGTCTGAGCTACTTCCCTGAGTTTCAGGCCTTCCACAGCCACCCGAACCTACCATCCCAACCTAACGCCCCTCCTTCTCCTGAGCCCCAGACCCGCCGCCTCCAGCCCCACCCAGCTCACCCTGCAGTCAGGCCACACTCCCCGCCCTGAACGCAGGGTCAGGCCCGCGCCGACTCACTCACAAGATGCCTTTCAGCTCCTCAGCGAAGCGTTTCTGGGATCTCTGCGGTGAGCCCTACGCGGGGCGCTGGGAGTGGAGAGCCGTGAAGGGACCGTGTGGGAGAAGCCGTGACAGCGCCCGGAGGTGCCGCGGGGACGCGCGGGCCGCGAGGCGGGCACGAGCGTGGGGCGAGGCGGGCAGCCGGAGGAGGGACGGACGCCGGCCCAGAACGACCTGCCGACAGCTGTGTCCCCACCGTCTCCGGGACCGCCTCCCCTTCTCTCTCCTCACCTGCTCGCTGGCAGAACCAGGTTGCTCGCAGAGCTGACCGTGGTCTGAACCGGAGGAGCCTCACGGGTTTTCTGTCAGCTGGAGTGTGCGCCAGTCTCGGGTGTGGTGTGGGCGCAACACGGACTCACGGGCAGCGTGTGTCCTCCCACCAGGAGGAGCGTAACGCCTGCCTGTCTCTTCCTTTGCCATGAGGACGCTCATGGTCTCGACCCGTGATCTGTTAGGAACTGCAAAGTGGCGGGCTTCTAATTCTACCCGCCCTTCTCAAGCGCTGACTGGAATACTTCTGTGAAGAGGGACTGCCATCAGCAACTCTCAGGTCGTCCGACCGCGCGTCTGAACGGAGAGGTGGAGCGTGTGCTCATTGCCGTTAGATCTCTCCCACCTCCTCTAATGGAGAACAGTCCTCCCACTTGCTTTTTCTTTTTTAAACAGAATGGAATCATCTACTTTACAGAAGTGTCGAGAAGGCTAAATAGAAATAATGCAAATAAAGTGGCTGGTCCAGATCTGATACACCATATCTGACAATGCTCAACAAATATTCTCTTCCACGTGTCTACAGCCCACGCTGGGTCCAATGTCCTGCTCTGCATGGCAGCTACATTTATTGATGCGAGTTTTGGTTGTTTTTAAAATATTCCCTTATTTGGCTGCTCCAGGTCTTAGTTGCAGCATGCAGCATCTTTCATTTTGCAGCATGTGGGATCTAGTTCTCTGACCAGGGATCAAACCTGGGTCTCCTGCATTGGGAGCTTGGAGACTCAGCCACTGGACAGCAGGGAAGTCCCTCTGCAAGTTTATGAAATGGCATCTAGTTTCAGAAACCATAGCTAATGTGAGAGCCTGCCTGAAATGCCAATCCAGAACCCCAGCTAGAGGTTCTGAAACTGCCAGACCAAGCACCCCCCATGGGGCATCTCCCAGGCTCCTCTGCCCAAGGGACTCTCTAGGCAAGAGCACTGGAGTGGGTTGCCATTTCCTCCTCCAGGGGATCTTCCTGACCCAGGGACTGAACCCACATCTCCTGCATCAGTAGGCAGATTCTTTATCACTGTGCCACCTGGGGAGACCATGGAGAAGGCATCTCACTTCAAATACTGTATTTGCCAGACCACTAGATACATTAACGCAAATTTGTGTAAAAGTAGATTACTTTAACACACAATAAAAACTATATTCTAATCCTGTTCTACTATTAATATAAATGCCATAAACCATGATGCTGCATCACAAAAATAAACACACATCAGTACAAAAATAAATAAAGAGGGCATCTCATTAATGACAACCAGGCTCCACTGCTCACCTGTGCTGTATCTAACCGACTGGAAACTAGGACAGCCTTACACTTATAGACCAGCTGGTAATCCTAACTCTAGTTCTCTTCCATTTGGTTTATTTTAAAAGCGAGAAGAAGGTAATTCCAGACTATAAATCCCAAGTTGCAATTTTACTTTGAGCTTAGGAGGGCAAAGGCAGTCCTCCAGAACTCTGTAGCTAAAGGCAGAAATATAAGAAGATGTGTCCACGCTGAACACATAAACTCAAACAGCCACCAAAACAGAAGTAGCTTTGGTTTTCACCCGAAGGGTCTGTGCTCTCTCGGTCCCAGAGCACCCGACCCCAAGCGAGCGGCAGCACCAGGCACCGTCCGCTCCCTCTGCTCTCACGGCCAAGGGCCTCAGCTGGACATCTGGTTGCTGGACATGCTCCTGGGGATGACAACTCATCAAGCCTTCCCAGGACAGGTGTCGGGCACCACTGACTCTGCCAAACTCCCTTCTTGGGGAAAAGAAGTCTCTGTCTACTTATAGAAAGATACAGTCCAGGGGCATAAAGTCATTTACAGAGAGAAAATATCCACTGCACCTGACATTTTTAAGTCCTCTTGTATCGTTAAATCTACATGGTATTTTCTGATTTTTGTATGTCCAACAGTAAACTTATTTTTCAAACTTCATTCACATTTTAAAATTTTAACAGGTGTACTGCAGAGAGCACAGGAAAGAACACTTCATGAAGTGTGTCATGGACTTGCTGTGCTGTTGGTCAGTCACTCAGTCGTGTCTGACTCTGGGAACCCCACGGACTGCAGCACGCCAGGCTCCCCTGTCCCTCACTATCTCCCAGAGCTTGCTCAAACGCATGTCCACTGAGTCAGTGATGCCATGCAACCATCTCAGCTCTGCTGCCCCCTTCGCCTCCTGCCCTCAATCTCTCCCAGCACGGGGGTCTTTTTCCAGCGAGTTGGCTCTTTCCATCAGGTGGCCGTTGTTTCTGCTGTCCAGGGGGCAGGCCATCACTCATTCATCTCTGCTTTCCAAGAGCCCAGTGGCGTGCTTGCCTCTAACAAGAGGTGTCTTGTAATACATGTCCTGTAATACTGTAAATCCGTAAGTGGGGAGAGGGGGTATAATATAACTAACATCTGTCGACCCGTTACACGCTCTAGGTGAAGGGCACGTCCTCAGAGCAACCGTGCAAATGGGTATTGCTGTCATCTCATAAGTTAGGAGACGGAGGCAGAGAGAAGTCGAAGTCACGTAGTTACTAAGTTCTAGCAACGGGATCCACTGACTGTCTCCAGCAACACCCTTGGGCTGGCGGTGGCCCCCAAATCCACATGCTGAAGCCCCAACCTCTGGTGTGACTAAAATTGAAGCTGGGCCTGAGGAGGTGATGAAAGTTGAATGAGCCACGGGTGGGGCCTTAGTCTGAGAAAAGTGGCGTCCCTGTAAGCAAGGGAAGAGACACCGGGCTCGCTCGCTCTCTGCCGAGGAAGGACACGCTGAGGAGGCATCGTCTGCAAGCCAGGAAGGAGGCGCTCACAGAACGCGGCCACGCAGGCACCTGGACCCCAGACCCCCGGACCCCCAGACCCCCAGCCCTGCAAGGGAACAAGTGCGTGAGGCAGCCACGCTGGCTGTGGCGCGCTCTGACAGCCAGAGCGAATACACCCCGTGATGACTCCATGCTTCATAAACTGACACAATTAATCTACCAAGTCTCACCCCTAATCAGCTAGTCCTCATGTTATGACAAAAATAAGCTCCATTTTCTCCACACTCCATCTCTTTATAGAAATCACCAGACTTTGAAGGAGAACTTTATAATCACAGCTAATTAGATGTCTAAGGGATCACAGCAGTTATACTTGGGGAAAAAAAACACAGTGATTCCTACATTCCACTAATTCACGATGACCTCCTGGCAAATGAGCCCCAAATGGCAGAAAGTGCAAATTAAGAAACCATTTAACTAAGAAGTACTTTTATTACTTGCCACGTCCACGGTAACTCACTCACTAAGTGCGTGCCCGGGAGAAGGCTCACGCTGCTCGAGTTAATGCACGACAAGCAGGAGACAGACACAGAACAGCAGGGCTGGGGGGACGGTGATCGCGGCCATGCGTCCGGGGACCGCCACGTGCCAATCAGAATCGGGGAGAGCTTACCATCGCTGAGGTCTTGGAGGAGATTCTCCTGGCAGGAGAAGTCCAGCTTCACTCTGATGCTGATGGTGAAGGTGGCCACCTTTCCAGGTTGCAAAGGGAACTGGGCAAGGGTATCTTCCAGTTTCCAGCTCAAGAAGTCACCATACAGCTTTTCTACAATGACAGCAACAAAGGCGATGAGCCTCATGTCACAAAGGCACCATGAGACCTAGCAATCCCCTGAGAAAATCCAAGTGCATCTTCAACAACAAGGAAAGATGCAAACCCTGTAAAATGTGACGGATCAAAGGGCCGGAAAATTCTAGAATCATGGCCGCTGCAAGGCCATGGCCCGCGTCCGCGAGCACCGCCCCGGACAAGAGCAGCACACTGTTCTCAGGAGCACCCTCCTCTTGCAGAATAATGTACAGAACACACAGTCTATACGTTTGCCAGCAGCTGTTTTACCTTTGAGCATGTAGCCTATTCTGGAAAACACTGATTAAGTTTTACAAACTGACCTGACCCCCCGTCCTGAAACTCTAGCCGCCTGCTGGAATGCATTCCTCTCTGGGATTTTGGCCAGCACCTGACTCCACAATGCGGGTGCTCCCCAAAGCACTAGTAGGAGCGAGGTCCTCTCCATGACTCAGTCACGCACAGTCTACAGGACGTGTCAACCAGGCTAAGGCAGTCATGTCTTTACTTTTCTATCTCGTAGATTAATTCGAGATGGAAGGGTGTAAGAGACCCCAGGCGAGCTGGAGCCAGCACAGACAACCCTCCGGGCCCCAGGTGCTGCAAGCCGGACCCCAGGCCCCAGGACTACAGCCTCTCCACCGGCCACAGCAAAGCGGGCCAACCTCTCTCTGAAATGCCAATACCGGCCAAGATGCTGAGGCCCTGACACACCCTCAGCCCCCCACTGCCTGCAAGCTGAGGGTGCCCTCACGAAGGGTGCTGACTGAGCTGCCAGTTTCTGCATTCAATTCCACATCCTAAGAGTGACATGTTCAGACAACACGCCAGTCTACTCACAAGGAACGGCTTATTCACCTTCTGCAGCCAAACCAACAAGGTGTTTACAGCTCAGTAACAACACAGAGGGGGTCACAGCACACACACCAGACCCCTAGCTGCAGCAGGACACAAAGCCGAGCTGCTTCCCTGTCGGGTCTGATGCACTTTTACGCCTCAAAGGTGGGCCTTTCTGGTTCTTCCCTTCGTTGCTGGACTACAAAACAGAATTGTCCAGGGGGGCTTTTCAAAACCCTACACAACAGTAAGCTGCCAGCAGAAAGGAGATAAACATAAATCAACAGTGGAGCACGTGTCACTAATGTTCTATAGTTTCAGAAATAAGTCATTATTTTAATGCTAGAGTTCAGCTCCGTGCAGTCAAGTGAAATGGGTTGACACTGACAGTAACAGAAGAACCGTTACTGTGCTGACCTCCCACGTCTGAGGACCTTTCATAGGTGCTTCTAATTGCAGAGGCTCGGCCCCTACACTCATAAGATGAGGGAGCAGCAGGGATGCCCCTCGGTCAAAACACCCATGAACCGCTCAGCACACCAACATAGAGTCACTGCTTTTCATCAAAAAATTAAACTCGAAGAGTGAAGAAAAGTATGTGCATTTATATACACAGGGACGTGTATATCTATGTTTGTACACACGCTCACACGGATCTCAGGATATCTGCAGAAAAGCAAATATAACACATTCTTAAGTTGGGTTTAATTATAATGAAATTTATGATTGCTTAAGTCAAGGCAGAAGCTTGCCTCTTTAATCACCCACAAATAAAGACCTGCTCACAAACAGACTGCAGTTACAATCAGACATGACGTGGGCAGTAATCCTTGTCATGCTGGGATGGAGGGTCAATGATCGGCCCCGTGTCAGGAGTGTGTGATTGGGGGACACACAAGCCCCACGAGCATCCAGATGACAGTTGGGACCCCTGGGAGGCCAGCATCCTACCCCAAAAAAGACCTCTTACGAGAGTCGTGATTATTTAATGAGAGAGGAAAAAAAACCTACCTAAGTATTAATACCACTCAGCTGGCACGCGATCACTGCTAAACAGTGACAGTTACTACTGCTGTTGAGACCTAGCATGGAACTGGGAGAGGGAGCGTCTGACTCCCTGCGGAGGCGTTTCCCAGGGAGCGCACTCAGGTTCCAGTTTAGGACACTTTCCTGTCCTCACTTTGACGTGACGTCACTCACTGGCGCTGACGGCCTGTTGGTGCCAGAGAATGTAGGGACAGGAGTTATTCCCTCTGTGTATCTTGGAAGCAGATGGTTTATTTCCATTCGTTTAATTCCACGTTTAAATGTATGGCAGCTTATGACGAGAATTAAAAAAGAACAACAGCTGACATTTCTCAATTGCAAACGTGTTGGTTCGAATGGCCATCCGGCAATACACAAGATGGAACCAGCTGTGTGATCCAGACTCCAGGACAGAACCAGCTGTGTGATCCAGACTCTGCCATCTGGCAATACACAGGAGAGAACCAGCTGTTTGATTCAGACTCCCTCCCCATCCACAGTGTGAGGGTCGTAGTTCTTGCCCCCCTGCCCTCCAAGAGACTGAACTGAGAGCTGGGCCAGAGGTGATGCTGACGGTGTCGGGTGGACCCAGCACTGGAGGAGCCTTCCCGGTTCTGCCCGGGTCTCCCGGGCATCCCCGTCCTCCAGCATCTCTGTCAGTGAGCACCGGCCGGGGGTTGCCCAGGTAAGCACCTGCCCTGGGGCTGGGCAGGGAAAGGAAGGGGCCAGGAGAGGCCTTTCTGGGGTGATGACAATGGTCCATGATGTACCTTGACAAGAGCTCAGGGAGACGTGTATTTGTCAGAATTTAGCAAATGGTGATGTAAGATTTGTGTGTTTCACCCCAAATACTTTTTTGCAAAGGAAAGTCGGGACCCCTGGGAGGCCAGCATCCAACCCCAAAAAAGACCTCTTATCAGTGTCATGATTATTTAATGAGAAAAAAACTACCTAAAGCATTAATACCACTCAGCTGAGTTCAAACACTGAACCCTAATGACATGCACGCTAAAGGATCAGTGGGTAAAATCACAGTAATCTGCAACTTATTTTGAACAATACAGATCAGTGGATGGACAGGAAGCTGGACAGACGTGATAAATCAAATACAGTCAAGCGTTACAGAACCTAGACGGTGGGTTTGCAGTGTTCACTGTAAGAATCTCGTCACTTCTCCGTATGCAGGGTGCAGAGGGAGGGGATGGCTGACACAGAGAGGAAGCTCCAGAAGGGCTGGGAAGCATAGGAACACTGAGGCGGTGCCGCGCCTAAAGCGGGGCCCTGAGAAGGCAGCACTGAGATGACTGAGCTGCTGACGGCCCTTCCGGGAGGCGGTGTGAGAGGACTGCGCAGGCAGGAGCGCACGAAAGGGCGGAGCTGGGCTCCGAAGGGGGCCCGTGGCTCCCGAGGGGCCTCACGGCGATTCCCGCGCTTCCACCCTGGTGACCCCCCCACCCGACAAGCGAGACTGGCTCGGTCCCGTCAAGACCCACCCTGGAAAGGAGAAACCCCTCTCGGACACAGCCGGCCAGCTGAGCACGTGTCCCCCCTACACCCACTGTGGGGAGAATGCTTTTTTCTTCTAAACGGTGCTTCCCCAATGGTTCAGTGGGTAAAGAATCCACCTGCCAAAGCAGAATACGTGGGTTGGAGCCCTGGGTGAGGAAGATCCCCTGGAGGAGGAAATGGCAACCCACTCCGGCATTCTTGCCTGGAGAATCCCATGGACAGAGGAGCCTGGCGGGCTACAGTCCGTGGGGTCGCACAGAGCCGGACACGACTGCGCGACCATGTCCCCGTCCATGGACAGCCCCTAGGCCTCAGCACCGCCCATGAACCTGGCCTGGAACTAAAGGGGAAACACACTGGCTGTCTGTGAGAGACCCACACCCAGCTGGAGGGAGACCAGCGCACCAGCGGCAATACCATGGAGCGAAAGGGCTCCTCAGAAGTCTCCCAGACACTCTAAGACAAGGGGACCCCAGTCACCCCGTGGAGGGAGGCGAAGGCGGGAACAGAAGTGAGCCGGTCGGCTTCCAGGCACAGGAGGGTTTATCCTCAAGTTACAGACAGCACCAACATTCAAGAACCTGAAACTAGCTCCCGACAACGAACGTGACAAGAGTTTAAGGAAAGAAGTGACAAAAGCTGAAGCCTGGGGCAGAGGGAGGCGATGTGGGGCCTGGGCAGCCAAGGCCATCGGGGCTTCCCAAAGGAGAAACGAGAGAAGCTGAGCTTCAAAGAGAAGCAGGTTGCAATGAGTGATGGACACGTGGTGACTGTTCAGATTTATTTGAGAAAAGGAAGATATCTTCCAGTGGCTAAGCTGTGAAGCCAAGGAAAATTACAGGAGATGTGAACATTTTTACCACTATATACTCTGCAATTTTCTGTCATTCAATATTAGCTCGCTTGTTCAAATATCCACCAACTCCTGTAACCAATTAATTAAATTCAGAATACCAGATGAAGGTATTTCATGTCAGGGAGGCATTTTCTACCTAATCCATAAGTACTTGCTCCTGAAAAGAGGGGGGAAAGGGAAGAAAGGATGAGATTAAGGTAGGATCATCAAAATTCCCCCAAAGATTCCGAGACACAAAAGCGAGAGAGGGACTAGGACAGCCGCGCTGCGGCAATGAGAGGGAACGGCAGCCACAGGCAGGAGCCAGTGCTCACGCCGTATGTTTCCAGCTCAGAATTCACACTCAGGATCAGAGACGGCCTGCGAGCCAGGAGAGAGGAGGCAGACAGACACAGAGACAGAGAAGGCAGAACACCCACTGGGAAAGGAGGACGGAGGGCCGGTACGAGGGCAGACTCTCGGAGGACGGCCACAGCAGAGGCGCTCAGCACTGCTGTCGGGGAAACACAGATTAAGCCCCCCCACCACCACCGCAGATAAAACGATGGCAAGGCTCTGAAGCAGAGGGGCCATGGGCAGCCGCCACGCCCCCATGATGACGGCGTGACTGGACTCTGGAACAGCAGTTCTGAGGCCCTCTGCCCGGCATCGGACCCTGGAGACGCTCTCAGAGAGGACAGCCTCGCCGCCAGAGCCGGGGCACCGCTCCCAACGGGCCAGGTGTGCCCAGGCTCCCAGGGGACAGCGGCTCACCTGGCTGCTACGTCAAAAGCAGCTGAACACGGAGTCCCGCCAGCTCGCTCACCCTGTGCTGTCCTTGTCTTTGGTCTCCACAGACGGCACAATTTCTCTAACTTCATTAAATAAGCTGATCTTATTTCCACTTACTACTCTCGACGCCCAGCCCTCCTCCTACATAGTGAATCCCCCTTCAACCAGCACTGCTCCTCAGCTCACTGACCAGCTCCTCTGCGGCCTCAGTTCCTAGAACAGCTTCCCGTGGTCAGGACCACCTCCCCTGCTTACCCAGGAGGAAGCTGAGGCATGTGAAGGATAAACAGTGAGCAAATGGTGAGTCCAAAATGTAACACAGGTCTTGTCAGCCCAAGCTACGTGTGCCTGAGAACTAGGAACAGCATTACTGGAAGAGGGGGTGCACGGGCTCTGAGCGCTGAACCCACAGCAGGCTCTGGGCTGGGCAGACGGGTCCCAGATGGTAATCTTCCGAGCCTGCAAGTGATCTTCTTTGCTCACTCACTCCAGGACATGCCTGCCGAGGACCCGATCAGTGTGAAGAGCACGGGGGATACAGAGGTGTGTTCTGTGCTCTGTTACCTTCCTCTGCGAGTTCTTCACACACAGTTAGGATAACAACCTCACAGGGGCGTCAAATTAAAAGTGGGAGAGGTTTTTAGACTTTTGGGACACTGGTCATCTAAAGGGTCTCTTCTGACTTACAGACTTAGAAAACTAACTTGAGGCTGCTGGTGGGAAGGAGGGATAGTTAGGGACTTTGGGAAGGTCATGAAAACACTGCTATATTTAAAGTGGATAGCCAACAAAGACCTACTGTATATAGCACAGGAAACTCTGCTCAATGTTCAGTGCCAGCCTGGATGGGAGGGGAGTTTGGGGGAGAATGGACACGGATATGTGTGTGGCTGAGTCCCTCGGCTATTCACCTGAAACTACAACACTGTTAATCTGCTACACCCCAATGCAACATGGTTTTGATATTTAAATAAATAAATAAAGTGTCTCTTCTGCAAATAAAAAAGATAAACATTTCTACAGTCAAACCTATGACAAGCCCCTACCTTTGGTGGTGAGGATTTTCGAGGTGACTTCCAGTTTCTCCAGTGGCTCCATCCCAATGTTCTCCAGTCTCACAACAAGCTGCTGGGTTTCCCCGTTGTAAAGCTGGACGGACACGTTAGTAGATATTTCATCACCAGAGGAAGGCTGTAATGAATGTGCAGACCTAAATTAAGAGTAATAATTATAATCAATTTTAGAAAAACAGAAAAAAAATTGATGGCATTTTACAGTCGTGCACGTCACCACACTTAAGCACTCCAGACACACGACTAGGGGGCCGTGGCTTTAACGTGGAATTGGCGCCCAGCGATCAGAACTCCAGGGCGAGGCGCTACACGCTGAGCGCTGTCCACACACAGATGCGCCCTGGATCATGGGATGGCTCTCACTGGCCTTACTGGCTCATGTGTGTGCAAACCACAAGAGTAATTGTTGGATTGTGGTGAGGGCAAAGGTGAAACAATGAATTAATTCAAATGATCCCTGAGCGTGCTGCTTGCTCAAAAAATGTTTAAATCTCAGAAATGCCCTGGGAAAATCCATAGACTGAAGGAGAAAACTCAAATGAACCATTTGAAATGATAACATGAGAGCTGGAGGAAAAGAAAGGTGTAAAGTACAGACAGCAGCCTCCACATCCCAGCAAAGTCCAGAGAGATGCTGGCAAATGCCTGACGTGAGCCAGGGCAGCTAGCGGGCCCTGGACCACGAGGGGCACAGCCCAGCATCCGGAGGCCCTGAGGATGCAGCACTGCAGCCCTGGTCTGAAACTCTGGCCTGAGTCCTCCTGACCATCCCTCACCCCACAGCGCTCATCACCCTGGTGTCTCCTTCCCAAGGACAAGTGGCAAAGCCACTGCTGGGCCAGGGGGTCACTGTGACCACAGGGAGGAGGCCCTGGAGACAGAATGGGGACAAACGCCAGGCATCAACGAGGGAGGTGCATGTGGCAGGTGGAGTCAAAGAGCACATCCAAAGCCCGTTTTCCAAAAATAACAGCGTCAAGAATCAACGTGAACTCCTTGGCATTTTATATCTTTAGAGCTGTTCGTGAGTCAAGAAATAAATTTTCTCTGCCAAGTAAGGAAAAGTGACTCCAGTCCTCACTCTAAGTGACTTCTCTCCACATTTCACCACAGAGTCCTCCTCAAGTGAGAACTATAGTCCATCTGGATTTGCAGGGAAGGTATTCAGGAAAACTAACACGCAGCCGACACAAGCAGAGTGGGTGCGAGCCCCTGGCACGGCAGGGGAAGAGGAGGGAGGCAGCAGAAGGCAGGGCAGCAGGCAGAGCGGACGGTCCCGGAGACCGTGCCCTGCAGGCCAGGCCCCAACTGGGGGGTGCGGGGGAGGTGGGCAAGGCTGGCACTGAGGAGGGGCCCACTGAATCAGCAACTGAGCCTTCAAAACATCTCAGAAAGTACCGAGATACATTGAGAAAGACAGCCCAAGGGACAAACAATACAGCATCATCCGTATGAGCAAAAACTGAGATGGTCCGAAATCCCAACAGCAGGGAAATGAATGGGGATGTGATTCTGAGATGGCTTCATGATGTACTTTTTTAAGCAATTAAAACAGAAAGCATTTAGCTTATGTTGTATATTTATGCAAAGAGAAATCTATGATACTAAATGAAACGCAGTATGATCTAAACATACATATATTGTTCCGTGAGCAAACAGTGGAAACGGCAGAGAGCATTAAGTCATTCCCTCTGAGATTTCTCTTCCTTCTTTATCCTTCCCTATAATGCTAGAGGGAAAAAAAAAAAGGACTGTTTTTGTTTTAGAAGATAAGACTTCTTAAATTCTCTTAAGCCTCAACTGTTTCTCATAAAAATGACGTTTCCAAAGGCTAATTTCACATTTTGTTCTGATCTTAGTAAGAAACGCCTCAACTCCACTCCAGTTTGCCACAAGCAGAGTGCTGGCCGTGAGGTCAGAGGGTAACTCCGGCTCCCGGGCCCCTGGCCATGGCTGGCAGCACTCCTGGGACTCCTAGGGGCCCTGGGGTCAGTGATCAGGCCCGGCGCCGCGGCGCTACCTGGGCAGAGACGTGCTGATCTGCAGGCGGGGCAGTGCAGGGATGACCTCCACTGTGGAGCCGCTGGTCTTGATTCCCGGGAGGTTGTCCAGCAGACAGTCGCTGAAGACGCCAAACACCGTGGTGTGGTAGCCTGGGGACAAAAGGCCAAGTTTCAGCCCCTGGACGGGCTTCACAGATCAGGCCCAAGGGGGCCCCGCAGGTGACAGGAGCACAGGGTGCCTTCCGACCTGAGTTGAGATTCAGGGCCCGTCAGCTGCCTGGCCCGGCGGGCCCACGGCTCCCAAGCTCAAGTCCACAGCCTCGTGTCCCTGAGCAGAGGTGAGAGTCGGGCCCGCAAGCCCGCTCCAAGGCGGGCTGCATCCAACCGATGGTGCACAAAACATAAACGTCACCAAAGTTCACACTCAGTATCTCATCCCTTTACTAATGTGCTTTTCAAGTTTATCCACCCCTAAAATGAAAAGGAGAGCTTGTACTCCTTTCCAGGACATAATGGGACTTAATAAGTATTTGAAAGAAAGTGATTCAAAATCTCGTGTTGAGAGATGAGAGTTCAAGAGTCAATTATTATTATCATAACTGTTACATGATATGGCAAATCTGCTCAATGTGTACAAATACTGTAATTTAAGATTAGCAAAATTTTCATTTAAGAAACACTCCTTGGGTTAGATAAGCACTTGAAATTGTTTAAGCAAAGCTTGGAAATGGCTTTTGAAATCTGAGGTGATTATTATAAACAACATTCACAGTGTAACAAAATCAACAACACTTGATGGTAAGTACCTAGGGTAGCAACGTCTCTGCATCCATGTTAAACTTCTACATACTCAACAAGAAGCAAAAGGTACGGTGGAGACAACGGGGCCCTGATACAGCCCCTCAGCTTGAAAGAGCTCCAATTCACGGCATCCACATTTCCTCCTTTTTAAAGTATGGCCCTTATGTGTATTAAGAAAAAAATATTTTAAAAAATAATAATAATAAAGTATGGTCCTTCAAAGCCTCCTCTTAAACAGACTCCTTTCCCAGTCAATCTTGACTGTCAGCCACCAAATGGCTACTGAAGACCTACTATGTGCCAGGTGTGAGGATCCAGCCAAGAAAGCCAGATGTGGCTGGCAAGGAGCAGGCCCGCAGACCACGGCAGGTGTGACATGAAGGAGGGGCTGTCGCGGCGGAGGGAGGGCCAGGCTGGGCGGGCACCGCAGGGGCATCTGAGCTGGGCCTGGAGGCCCCCCCGCGGAGGGACAGCGCGAGCAGGGCGCCTGCCCAGGACGGGAGCCCTCCACGCCGGCCAGGACGCGCAGGGCCCAGCGACACGGCCAGAGTGAGACAGGGAGCCGTGGTGGGGAGGGGGTGAAGGCAGGACCGCTTCCAGCCCAGAGGTCTGAGGACAGGTCCAGCAGAGAGGTCACGAGGCCGCAGCATGGGAAGAATGAGGGCAGACAGACCAGTCCTGATGCTCCGGTGACACCCCTAGAGAGGGCTGAGCGCCGCGGGACCAGAGCGGCTGCGGAGGGGCAGAGGGTGTTGACGACACGGGCAGTATCCTAAGGGGAGCGAGGGGAGACAGCAGCGGCCCAGGACGCCGCCTGGTGCCCGGCCGGGGACGGGAGGGTGGGGACACACGGATTGTTATGTGCCCCGGACACAGCCAAGGAGAGTGAGTGGCAGGACGGGCAGGTCCAGCAGAGGGGTCTGGACGGGAGAGTGGCCGAGACGGACTGCCCGAGGCAGCAGGCGCAGATGGAAGGAGAGGAGAGAAGGGCGGCGGGGCCGTAACCCCAGGAGGAGAACCTCGGAGCACACCTGTGGCCCGGGAAAGACAGACAGGCGCGCGGCAGCCGACCCCACGCCCTGCACCCTCTGCACAGTTCGTCCGTGGAGGCCCAGGAACCGCAGCCAGAAAGAAGCTGTCCTTACCGTTCACAGTGATCGTCCCCGTCGTCTGCGGGACCCCAACAAGCGTCACCGGGTAAAGACCAGATTCGGCCGGGAGGGAGAGCGCCGCGGGGAGAGACTCGAACTCCACTCCGCTCGTGAGCAGTCCCTGCAGCGGGCGGCAGAGGACACAGTGAGCGCGACCCCCACCCTGACCCAAGCCCCCCTCAGGCAGCAGGAACACCCGGGGCTCAGGAGACAAGGTCTCCTTAGTGACGTGGACAAAGGCCCACGGGAAAGGCGGCCTAGAAGCGCGGCTACAAAGCAGTCTCAAACGGGCAGCACCGCGGGCGGCTGCGCAACAACTCCATCTTTAATACGAGCCCCGCTTGACACAGTATGAATGTGTGTGCTGCTTTGCTGTTTTACCAAGGTGGAACATAAACAGAAAGAAAAAATATTTTGCTTACAAACAAAATGAAAAAAAAGATGACACATGGAAATGAATCAGTTAATCTTCTTCCAGCGCATCTGTGAACCAAGAGTTCTTCTCACTAAGAGTGAGACAGGTACCACCCTACGCCTGGTAGATGAGACAGGCTGCGTGGCCTCTGGGAGCCGCCCGTGACTGCAGGGCCTTCTAACACTCGGGCCCTCTCCTCAGCACTGTGACGGAGGCCCTGGCCAGCACAACAGCCAAGAGAAGAAACAGCATGGAGACAGTTATCTATACACACAAAAGCTGCAGAAAAGCCTGTGGCGCCTACAGGGAAACTTGAACGAACAACAGCATTTAGCCCGGTAACAAAGTCAGCATTTACAAAGCAAAAGTATCTCCACAGCCTAGCAACAAGCATATGAGAAGACAAAACAGTAAAAATACCACGAACAGGGATCTTCCCTCCGGTGGCTAAGACTCCCAGTGAAGAGGGCCCAGGTTTGATCCCTGGTCAAGGAACTAGATCACACATGCCACAACTAAGATATAGCACAGCCAAATAAAGAAATAATTTTTTTTTAAAGTACCATTAACAAGAGATCAAAAACACCCCCTATGTTGGAGTAAGCCCACCGAGTGGTGTGAGTCCTGCCCTGAAACCTGCAGAAGATGGCAGAGGAGCATTAAAGAAGGAGGGAGTGCCGTGGTCCATCCCAGGAGTGGGCAGGCGAGGGGGCGATGGCGTTGCCCTGAGCCAGGTTCTCACAGGGGAGGCAAGGACATGGATGTGGAAGGAGGCAAGGAGAGCCCTCTGGAAGTGGAGCAGACCGGAAGGGATGATTGCAAGGTCCGGATATGTGAAGTCTGCATCTGTGTGTGTGCGTACACTTGGGCACACGTACATGTGTGTACACACATGCAGAAGCATGTGGTGCGTACATGTATGAGCACATGCCATGTGTACATGCATGCATACTGCTCCTCACGCTGTCTGCACAAAGTTCCCAGAAGCAAGGCTCCCTTAGTGACAAAGAGCACACCTGAGCCCAGAGTTTGTGTACATGTATGTACACACATGTGCAGATGCATGTGGTAGGTACGTGTGTGAGCATGTGCCCATGTGTGCATGCATGCATACTGTTCCTAACGCTGTTTGCAGAAAGCACCCAGAAGCAAGGCTCCCTTAGTGACAAAGAGCACACCTGCGCCCAGAGTTTGGGCAAGAGCATGAAATGATCTAGCTACGTGTGAAACAGATGACGTGGCCAAGAATGGAAGCGGAGAAACCAATTAGGTGGCTACTGTCTCCAGGCAAAATACACTCGCATTTGATTTATTTTTAAAATAGCTAAAGCAAACATGGCCAACCATGACCACTTGCTAAATGTGACGGTGGATACACGAGGTCTGACTATTCCCTGTGCCATTTCCCACGCTTGAAACATTTCGTAATGAAATTCTTTAATTCTGAACATGATTTGTGGGCTATCTCCTAGTGGTAAATTTTATTCTTTGTTCTTCCTCATTTTTTGACAAAAAGCATATATTACTTTTAAAAATTTATTTATTTATCTGGCTGCGTCAGGTCTTAGTTGTGGCACACGGACTCCAGTTGCGGAGAAGGGGCTTAGTTGACATCTTAGTTTCCTGACCAGGGACTGAACCTATGTCCCCTGCAGTGCAAGACAGAGTCTTAACCACTGGGCCACCAGGGAAGTCCCAAATGCATGTATTCCTTTTTAACCAGTTAAAAGTGAAAGCTAAAAAAAATGTTTAAGAAAGAGTAGGCATACGATGCTTTAACCACTTTAGGGGAAATTCTCTGAACAACTCTCGATGTTATTCCTGGGCTTAGGCCAGGAGACGAAGCCACTACAAGGCCTAACCAAGAGCTAAGCCCCAAGGCTGGCATGTTCTTGTGCAAAAGGAGGAGGAGGGAACGCTCATCCTAATAGGTGGTTCTCTTATAGTGGGGAACTCAGGGTTGTCCACTCAATACTCAGTTCAATTTCCAAGAGCTCCAAGGGACGTGGGAAAACCATGCCTCATACCGGAGGCCCGAACATCATCTTAAATAACTACCAGTCTGCCTGCGGGCTCCCACTCACCCTCTCCTCGGCGGGGCCTCCCCGACCCTCCACGTGGGTCCCACAGGCCCTCCTGCACCCTGACCACAGGGCAGAGACCTGGCCTGACACGCGGCCTAGGCACTCGGCAAGCTCGGAACATGAGTCATAAAACCCCAGAGGAAAGCGTCACCCAGCTAACAGTACCCTTCACACGTCACTGGGAAGTCACAAAGCGGTCCCACACAATGATAAGCACAGAGAAGACTCGCGGGACTGGAATCCACTCTGTGCGTGCAGGGCTCTCCTCTGGGAACACGAGGTCCAGGTGGAGAGCCACACAAACCTCCTTCCCCCAACTGCAGAACTAGGGGAGGAGTTTCAGCAGACACCACCACAGAGCAAACATTTAACACTGTACACAAACACAAACTGAACATCTGATTCCAAACGCGAGGGAAATTTCGCATGAGCACTGCAGTCATTTATTCTCTTATAAATAAAGAGGCCTCGGTCATCTTATCATCTTTAGCAGTGAAGTAGCAGTGAGCTTGAGTGGGGGGCACACTATAGACTTTGTAACCTCGCTAATCTCATTTGAATTTCAACATGATTATTTCAAATATCACAGTCAACTCAGTTCTGGGTATGTTCAAATCCAAGATGTCTTTTGTTCATTGATTCACAAACTTACTGAGGACCAAGCACTAAAAACAGGAGAATGCAAGATGTGGTCTTCATTCACAAAAAAATTATAATCTTTGGCAAAACAAATCTTAAAAACAGACGTATACCATAGGAAAAAACTGAAACTGAAGCCGCTCAGTCACGTCTGACTCTTTGCGACCCCGTGGACTGTAGCCCACCAGGCTCCTCTGTCCATGGGATTCTCCAGGCAAGAATACTGGAGTGAGTTGCCATTTCCTTCTCCAGGGGATCTTCCCGACCCAGGGATCAAACCCAGGTCTCCCACATTGCAGGCAGACGCTTTAACCTCTGAGCCACCAGGGAAGCCCTGGAAGTCATGTCATAGGAAGTATGACTCAAATACTAAGAAACATATATCAATAGTAAACTGATGTTTAGCCCAAAGGGCCAAATGACTGATGATACATACCATGTTTTCAACTCGGAGTTCAAATGGCATTGGGTTATACACCATCAGCTGAACTTCACACACATCTCCTTGAACCCACTGGAAATCTAGAAATATACACACACAAAGGAATCCATGTGTTAGCTGGTATTTCTGCATGTTTCACGTGGCTTCCGATCACTCCTCTGGCTATTTTCCAATGAAGCAGTGGCATTATGGCCATCGCGAGAGACACAGTTTAAAGCCATGCTACGCCAGCTTTCTCCAAAGCTAAGCGTGTTGTCATTGCCACTTGCATGGCCTGTGACTGGTGCTTCTCTCGCTAGGGGCCGAATGCAGCTTCACGAACCTGGAGTGAGCAGACAGCACTGGTCATGGTGGGGAGGCCACCACTCGTCGCAGAGTGGGCACTCGTCGCACTCGGGCCCAGAGGCTGCCACTCAGGCAGGCGGCACTGTGGCCAACTCTAGGTGGCACAGAGCATGGTTCCCCTTTCCCTCCTGAAGTCCGTGAGAGAAGAAGGTGGCGCCTCCTCCTGACCACTCCCAGGCCAGCTGCAGTTCAACACGTACAGGGGGCAGAATTCTGAGATGACCCCCAAGACCCCCGAACTCTGGTGTATATGCTGTGTAATCCTCTTCCCCGAGTGTGAACACAAGGGTCGGTTATGTTCTGTAACAAAGTGGGAGGGGGCTTTCATATGTGATGAGGGCCCCCAAGTCCTCAAAGCAGTGGGCTTTGAGTTAAGCCAAGGGAGATTATCCCAGGAGGGCCTGGTCTTCTCAGATGAGCCCTGGAAGGAAGCCTGCTCACCCTGAGTGAGAAGACTCAACGCGTAAGCAGGCGTGTGAAGGAGGCCAGGGTCTGAGGGCAGCCGCGATGAGCTGAAAGTGGTCCACATAACACCCGGCAGGCGGAAGGGGACCTCAGCCCCACAACCCCAAGGAACCAAGAACCCGAGGGAGCTGAGAGCCTCCCGACGAGAACACAGCCCCAGCTGAGACCTGGATCTCAGTCTGCAAGACCCTGAGCAGAGGCCCACGCTAACACAGGCTGCACTCGTGACGGAAACAGTGAGAGAAACGCATGTGTGTTCTCTAAGCACCAAGTCGGCGGTCCTCTGTTCACAGTACCCACCCCCACACCACTGCCCCCTCCTCCCTTTGAGACACTCCACTGGGCAATTCAGAAGCGACGTGAGAAGCATGCGAGGTGCGGGACAGGAGGCACTGTCCAGCCCTTGGAAGGCTGTCTCTGCCTCTGCATAATGCCCCGGTGAGGGAGGTATTACAATCCTGTTGTTACAAGGCAGGGACCAAGGTCCAAGCAGGTTAATAAATGCGCTGGGAACCACATAGCCAGGAAGTGGTGTGGCAGGGATTCAGGCCAGGCCTCTGAACTCAGAGAAGTGTCTAGAATGGACAGTGGTGGATAAAGGGCTTCTCCTATAGCAGACACTAAGATTTACTGACGAGAATTCTTCAGCTATATAGACTTTAACAAAGACACCATTTTCCCCCAACACTGCACCAGGCCCTCGCAAACAGACTAAGACAGGCTGCACCAAACCTGTGGCATCCTGAAACTGCACGCAGTGAAGCAGCCCGCCAGGCAAGCTGGCTTTTAAAATGCTTGTGCAAGCAGGTGCCCATATGCGGTCTCAACAACACGGTGCAGTGGTCAGCAGGACACAGATCATCCTCACTCACCAACAAGGACACAGACAGGCTGAACCGTCCATCATTCACGGCCCTGACAAACGAGGCCGTTGAGTCCACCTTTCGTCTGCCTGGCCCCAAAGCCTTGGCTGCTCTCACACTGCTGTCCCCCACTGGCTCCAGAAACCCAGCTCTCCTCACCCGCCTCGGGCTGAGAACTCCTGCTGCAGGGACACGGGGCTCCCACCCCCGACCTTCAGCAGCACCCCAAGCTCATCACTGCCTCAGCGGTCAGCACCCAGCCCTTCCTCACAGCCGAGGAGAAAGTCATTTGTTTTAACAGGTCGCTGCCTGATAGTGAAGGAGCGGTTTGTCTTCTCTGTCATGGTCAAATAACCATCATTTTAAAATTCCTTTTCCTGGTTCTGCAAGGAATCGTTTATACTCGCACAGTCGTAGTCGCTAAAGGTAAACCTGTGATAAACCTTTATTACAGGAACAGTTGCTAAAGTCTGACAAAAGATCATCTCCCTCCCGGGTCTGAGCGTGCCAGAGGGCACGGTGGGGCCCTTCCTCCACAGTCTGTCCCAGAAACCTCAGAAAGGACCGGCACTGGAGGCTATTAAACACCCCTCTATCTCGGTGCCACCACCCCCCCTCCAGCACTACATGGCCCCTGGGAAGGTCTTAGCTGTGGACTAACAGCATCTTTTGGTGGCTTCTGTCGACAAGCTCATCTCCTTCTGCCACGCTGGCTGGACCCACCTGGCAGGGGCACTCCTTATTTCTCACTGCACCCCCAGCACCTTGGACAGCGCACACAACGCGCTCAGAGCCCCAAGTGAACAGCGCCGGGGTATTGGAGCGTCAGCATCTCGCTCGACCCCTGAGGAGCCCGTGCAGTGGGCTTCTAGCGCCCCCTCCCCGCAGACAGCACAACTGCAGCCCGGGGAGGCCAGACGACTGACCGAGGCCGTGGGACAGCTCCCGCCTGTCCATCCTCCCAGGCGGCTGCCGACCTCGGCACGAAGCCCGGCCACGCCAAGTCCTGGCACAAAACCCTTCACCTCTCTGTGCTCACACTCAGGATGTGTGCAGCCATCACCTCGCGTGGAGTTTAGATGGAGAGACTGGTAATAAATTACTCCATGTTAGCGCAGAAAATGGTCCCAGGAGCTGCCCCCAGGGTCTCTTCCCCTCTAATACTGTGTGCTCGCTGTGATAACTCCCCCCGATTACACACAGATTCATTTACAGAGATGGGGATTCTGGGTTAAAGACATGGGATTCTTCAAACTTGTAGGCAGGTACTCGCTGCTGAGTCTATTGCCAGAAAGATATTAGAACCCATGGAATATAAGTTACGCTTTCCTACCCATGGGTCTCCAACAAATAACATGCATTTTGGCTGAAGTTTCTGTTACATCCTGGAAAAAAATCATGCACCATCCATGGAATTTATCCCCAGCTCAGAGGAACTGGAGCTTCTCACTGTCACGAGGGAAAAAGTACCTGGGAATTCCCTGGCAGTCCAGTGGTTAGGACTCCACAGTTCCACTGCCAGGGGTGTGGGTTAAATCCCTGGTCAGGGAACTGAGATCCCATAAGCCACATAGTGCAGCCAAAAAAAAAAAAAGATAAAGGAAAATATCTCTGGGCTTTGAGTTATAAACCATGGACAAAGCCTGAGCTCTGCCACTTAGCTTCCTTCCTGACCTAGGGCAGCAATTTACATTCAGTCAGTCTTAATTTTCTCATCAGGAAATTGGAAACACAACACCTGCAGCATCGCTGGATGAAGTGAAAACCCTCTGCAGCAAGTACAGAGCACTCTTTTCACAAAAGGAAGCCTCAGCAGTTTCTAAAGATTAGAGAGGAAGGAAGACGAAAGGCCAGCTTCGAGGGTGGGGACCTGGCAGCCATATGGCACCTGACTCAGGGGGATCCACATTCTGTTTAGTGCCTTCTCTGTCTCCAAAGTCTTCCTAATGTTTGAATAAGGGGGCCCCACCTTTTCCTTCTGCATGAGGCCCCACAGATCATGCTGCTGGTCCTGATAAGGAGTCTCACATCTCCAGTCCCCCAGATCACCTCTAGAAGCTTCAGTACACAAAATGGGTGAAAGTTTCCTAAAACATCCTTTAGGGAGAAAACTTCCATCAACCCTAATGAGACCCAACATCAGTAACCTCAGATATACAGATGGCACCACCCTTATGGCAGAAAGCAAAGAGGAACTGAAGAGCCTCTTGATGAAAGTGAAAGAGGAGAGTGAAGAGTCTGTCTTAAAGCTCAACATTCAGAAAACTAAGATCGTGGCATCCGGTCCCATCCCTTCATGGCAAACAGATGGGGAAACAGTGGAACAGTGAGAGACTTTATTTTCTTGGGCTCCAAAATCACTGCAGATAGTGACTGCAGCCATGAAATTAAAAGACACATGCTCCTTGGAAGAAAAGCTATGAGCAACCTAGACAGCATATTAAAAAGCAGAGACATTACTTTGTCAACAAAGGTCCACCTAGTCAAAGCTATGGTTTTTCTAGAAGTTGTGTATCGATGTGAGAGATGGACCATAAAGAAAGCCGAGCACTGAAGAACTGATGCTTTTGAACCGTGGTGTTGGAGAAGACTCTTGAGAGTCCCTTGGACTGCAAGGAGATTCAGCCAGTCCGTCCTAAAGGAAATCAGTTCTGAATATTCATTGGAAGGATTGATACTAAAGCTGAAACGCCAATACTTTGGTCACCTGATGTGTGGCCAACTGACTCATTTGAAAAGACCCTGATACTTGGAAAGACTGAAGGCAGGAGAAGAAGGGGACGACAGAGGCTAGATGGCTGGATAGCATCACTGACTCAATGGACATGAATTTGAGTAGGGTCTGGGAGTTGGTGATGGACAGGAAAGCCTGGCGTACTGCAGTCCATGGGGTCACAAAGAGTCGGACACAACTGAGCGACTGAACTGAACTGAACTGAACGAGACCCAAAAAGAGCAGCCAGAGACTCCTACAAGGTCCAGGAGACAAACCTTGTTAACTCTGTAATGACGGGCCCAGGTCCACCTGGGGGAAGGGGTCCAGAAAAGTGGCCTGCCCACCATAGAGAGACCCCTAAGACTTCGATGCGAACAGGACCCAAGCCCCCCACCTCCAAGAGATCAAAGAAGGCATCCCCTGGCAGATGGGCATTGCTCGCTGGCGTGTGCTGGAGATGCCCAGGACTGGCTCCGCCACTGCTCAACCACAAGGTCCACCCACCCCCTGCTCCCAGCCTCTCTGGCATCTTCTCCAGAGCAGAGGAGCAGGCGGGAGGCCAGGGCTGTCTCTCAGAATCACAAACTAAAACTAGAATGCCAAAGACTCGCATTCACATCTCAAGTGCCTGCTGGGTGGGGCCCTGCTCCCCTAAGAGCCAGGAGACTGCTGCAGTCGGTCGTTCACCCAGAGTACAGCCCTGAGACTGGAACAAGAGGTCACATTCAAAAAACAGCACATGGTCGTGGGCTGGGGCCAGGCAGCAGGGGCGGAAAAGCGGGAGGAGGTAAGCGGAGAGGCAGACAGCGCGCGGCGGGCAGGGTCAGCTCTGGGTGTGGGTGGTGGGTGAGTGCCCCCAGACAGCTAAATCCTGGGGAGAAGGGCCTCGAGAAGCCAGGACGCCTTCTCTTACACTGGGGGTGTAAAACTGAAAGGAGGAAAAAGGCAGACAGAGGAGAAGCCAGCACTGAGCTGCAAAAGCTTTGCGGGTCTTCCACTCAAACTTCTGGGACGGAGTCAGCAATGCCAACCATTGACCGCCTCTCAGCCCGCAGCTTTGTCACTGCGACGCGCACCACAGTCTCCAAGTGCACAGAGCCTGAGGCAGGGAGCAGGCGAGGAATGATGCCTGCGGCACGGCCACACCTGGGGGAGGGCAGAGGGACCGGCTGACACAGGGGAGCTGTGGGGTCCACGGGGAGGAAGGATGCGCAGGGGCTGTGCGCTGGGACGTGGCAGGGGGCTGAGCACACAGAGGAGCCCATGACGGATCCTCAGCGATGAGTGGTCCCGCCCCGCCACCCCCAAGACGCAATGTCACGGCGCCCTGCTGAGTCACCAGGCCTCTCAGAAGAGGCAATGAGCGTCAGCGAGACACAAAATGAGCACTGCAGCCTTCAAACGGGACAGTGATGGGATGCCCTTACACCCAGACAGTCCTGAACAAAGACGACCTTTAATCTCCTTGGATGATTCAGAAGTCACTCCAGGCTTGGAAAGTCACCCTGGTCTCCAAGTACCTCTCCTCTGTAATTGACCTAAGTCTCGGATAACAGAGGTCTTCTGGTTTCTAGAACTTTCACAAAACCCCCTTTTATGAAATAGATACTAAAAAGGCAGATCTATAGGCAGTGGTCAGACAAAGTCAGCAAACGGAATACACCTGCGTGAGGGTATATCCCATAGGCTCACATGAACGACGTCAAGTCTCACAATCTCAAGCCCAGACAAGCCTCCAGGGGTCGGGCGGCCGAACACGGCCTGGAAGCCCAGCAGCCCGGCCTACCTATTTTCTTGCTGCGCTCCTCCCCGCGGCTGTGGGCGATGATTGGGGAGTAGATGAAGGGGCTCTTGGCAGACACGCTTTGGCCCAGCAAGCTCTTCATCTTCTGTGGCCGGAGGCTGGCGGGAAGGTTCAGCAGTTTCACATGCCTGTTGTTTCAAAGGGAACAAAAATACTTCAACTGCCTTGTTAGCTTGGCTTCAGCCTAAATACGACCAAATATCTGGTGTTATACAGACAATAAATCGAACAGCAGATAAACTGAGGGGAGGAAAAGCATTCAGCTTTGCATGACAAGGCAGAGAAGACAGCACAACTTGCCCCCAACCTCCCAGACGGTCCCAGGGGAGAGGACGTCCGTGGGCAGACAGAGCTCCCCCGGGAGAGCGGCACCCGCCGGCCGCAGGCCTGCCTTCCCTGCGCTCAGGCTCCCGGGCCATAACATGAACCACTGTGAGGATTCGGGGAGGCGCGGTGCGTACCATGCCCACCGCTCTGCAGAAGCTGGTTCCCTCCTTCCTGATGGGCAGGCCCGCAGCAAACAGAGGTGCTGACCCAGACCATCTGAAGGACCACGGGTGAAGGGCAGCAGCCCCGTCGGCTCTGCACAGTCTGCGCCTCACTAAACCACTTCTCCAGCTGTGGATGTCAGCTAGTGACACCAGCCAGCCTGGACTGAAGGCCCACAGTCTACGGAGCCGGGCCTCAGGCCTGTGCCCACTGCCGCCCACGCACCGTCCCCACTAAACCTCATCCGCCTCCCAAGCTGCGGTGCTATCACCATCACCTCCAAGTCGTCAACGAGGAGACCGACACAGGTGAGAGGAAGCATGCTGACCAAGCCCCACAGCCGGAAACGGGGCAGCAGGACACAGCACGGCCCCTGTGGCCGCTCTTGGGAGGGGCAGCTGGGCAAGCAGGGCTCAGGATCCAGAATGAGACCGAGACCGACGGGAAGGTGGGGGCAGAGGGTGGGGTGGAAGGCTGCAGGGCACTGAGCCCCTCCCCACCCACAGCCCCTCTGCAGGGGGTAAGGCTGGAGGGTCAGGAGGGGAAGCCAGGGGAAGCCAGCCGGGTCCCTCGGAGACAAAGCGCTCGCAGCGGTGCCCCGCCTCCTCCTCAAGGCAGGCCTGGGGGCTGGACGCGGAGCAGACGGACATGCCCAGATCGCCGAGTGACCTCGGGGAGGTCAGCCACCCTGGAAAGCTACCTGCCCGATCTGCATCCTCACATCTCCTCGTGAGGGAAGCGTCGTCAGCCTGGGCCGTGCTGAGGGCTGATCTGTCTGAGATTCTAGGGGCCATGTTTCTGCCACGGACAGGCTAATCTGTGCTGACTCTATATATGTGTGTGTGTGTGTGTATGTGTCTATAAACTAGAGACGGCCTCAGAGAATCCACGACATCACGCCTTTCTCAGCTCTCCTGGCCTCCACGGGGACCCCGTCCTCACGAGCACCCCCACTGCACCCAGCCATCACCGGCGGCTCCTGAGCCTGGCCCTGGGGAGGTCCAGGTGACACGTGTGATCCTCACCTGTTCCCACCACAACCCGAGGCAGAGGCGGTGCTCACCCGCCACAGCTCTTCAAGAAAGGACTCTCTGCCTTTGCAAGCCCCTCGGCATGCTTTTCTTGTACAGAATCAGAATCACTCAGTTTTCTGCTTGTTCGGCTGTGAGCTTTCCAAGGACAGGGCACCCAGGGCCTCATTTGTCTCAAGTCCAGCACTGGTGCAACACACCAATGCGGACCTCTTGGTGAATGCTGAATGAATAAACTCCCAAAAGCTGGATTTCCAACTCAGCTTCCAAATCTTTCCAAGCCGTACCCTCAAGGCTAAGCAGTTTATCACCAACAGCGGCAAATCCCAGCCCTTTGTGCACAAAGGCCCCGACCTCACTGTGCTAGGGGGAGGCGGCAAGTCCTCACGCTGGCCGAGATGCCACGACCGATGAGCGTCTCACGCCCACCGCCTCCAGCCGGGGGGAGACGCACCTGCAACAGCTGCAGACAGCTGCACAGTGAAGGACCCACCAGCGGGGCACCAGCAAGGAACGCTTCACCCCTGGACCTCAAGCCTCTCACTTGGAAAGATGACCGGTGCCTGCCGACACTGTCCAGGAGGTCCCGTGGACGTGCCCCCCTCCCCGGCTCCGTGTTTCCTGGAGGAGGGGCAGCCTAGGGTAGGGTCCCGACCTCGTCCTCCCCTCACTCCTCCTAAGGGAGGCGGCAGATCTGGCAGGAGAACCAGCATGTGCAGCACTCAGGCCCTTCTCCTGGGGCCTGCCTGCTGAGCAAGAGCACGGATTCTGTCTGGCTCTCCGCGACAGAATGCGGCCAGCCCCAGGGCTCTGCCAGAGGCTGGGGAAAACTGGGCAGCCCCGGGACACTGGGCACCGGCTCCACCGTCCACCTGAGACAGATGTTTCTTTCTGCTGATCCTAAACTCGAGCAGAGAAAGGGCAGTGGTCTGAAGCAGAGATCTTCAAACCTTCACTCTGAAAACTGAGCTGACATGCATGGCAACTCACTCCAGTATTCCTGCCTGGGACATCCCATAGACAGAGGAGCCTGCGGGCTACAGTCCACGGGGTTTCAAAGAGCTGGGCATGACTGAATGACCTAACAACAGAACAAAGCACCTATGTCAGCACCTGACACATGGCAGGTGCACAAAAGCCCTTCCCTTCCCTCCCTAAAACAGCACTCGCTCACAGGCACAGAAAGCCAAGTCCCTGCGCAAAGATCGCAACACCGTGGGCAGAGGCAGAGAAATCAAGTGCTGGGCCCGGTGATGCTGCGAGCGCCCTGCTGAACTCTGGACCAGCAGCAGCGACTCAAGCCTCTGTGCTCGCTCATCAGTAAAACGACACCATTTCCTCGCAACACAAATAGCTTTCTACTCTGTGCCACTGTCACCACCTAAAAACGAGATGTCACCTGTCATCCTAGGAATCGTCTACTCAAGCACAGACACCTCAGATCACATAAAAGGCTTTTAAAAACTGCAGAGGGATTCTGAGGGCATGGTCAGACAGAAAAGAAACCCAACAAGCCAGCCATGGCATTCATTCATAACTCAAAGTCCAGCATCAAATGTCTGCCCATAAAATGTACCCAGAAAAAGTCACGCAAGGTACCTGACCTAAAGGAAGCATAACTCATTCAGCATAAATTGCTGTGAAACTAATAACGTTGTATTTGGTCTATGGAGCTGCCAACAGTAAAGCAGAATTCCAGGGATGACGTTTCCAGAACAATAATTATTTTTAGGGATTCCGTTTGGAAACATTTGGCAATTTAAAAGCTGATATCTCAGGATACTGTGGCTAATAAGGATTATGCAAAGCAGAGCTGGGACACTCATTAGGAAAGTGACAGAAAATAGGTTGGTAAGAAAGCATGGGACAAATCCGCCTACCTTTTCTCTCGGTTCTCAATTCCTCAACCTTATTTACAGGGGAGACATACCTGAGAACCTCCTGGCTCCCTCTGCACAGATGGGCAACAGTCCAAGGTGCCCAAGTGGGGTGGAGGGGCCCACGGGGCTGGGGCAGCGCTCCCCATGGGGAGGGAGGGCAACGTGGTAGCCACGGTAACCAGCAGGGGAACTGACCAAATGAGCAACCAGACCGAGGTGAATGGGAGACAGGTTTCCCCCGTCTGAGAAGGACTTACAGATACTAGAAGGACCCCTAAGGCGCTGGGTGGAATTGGAGGTATAGGTATCAGCATGGACTCAGTTTCCAGTACATAGAAACAGATGCAGAAACAACCACGGGCATGAACATGCAGTGAATAATGTATGTCTATAAATAGATGTTGCCTAGCTCTGTCCACCACGAGCAGCAGCAACCCGACAGTGAGGCGTGCACACAGCACCCAGATCTTAACTTCAACTCCATCAAAAGAAAGCAGGGCTCTTGCAGGAAATGGCCAGTGCGGGACTGGGAGCAGGGACTCGGATCTGAGTCCATGACCCAGCAGAAGTGCCAGAGAGCACGAGCCTCCACGCCCTTCTCCCAGGAGAAGGAAGCTTTATCTTCCTTCCACAGGCATCACCTTCTTTTCTCCCAGACACTGCAGGACCGGGAGCTGCAGCTGCCAGCCTGATGCTACCCAGAGCCTGAGACTAAAGCCTGGCTGCTGAGGGCAGAGCTGAGAGGGGAGAGAGGCAGGTGCTGGTGAGACTGTCTGATGCCTGGCTCCAGCCCTGCCCGAATCCCTCTCCTGGATTCTGTAGGTATATGTGCCATAAACCCCCTTGTGCCTAAGACAATCTGGGTCAGATGTTCTGAGGATTGCTTACAAAGAATTCTGATGGCTGGATCTGTTCATTCGCTCAGCACACACAGGCACCTAAGGGTTGCAAAAACAAAGGTCTCTCCAGGGAGCTCTCAGACAGAACAAAGATGTATAATCACATTCCGTAAATGAAATGGAAGAAAGACATGGAAGATGTTCCTGGCTGGCTAACCCAGCACCACTCTGTCCCCTTCTCCCTTCCCCACACATTACAGAGCTTGGGAGAGTTAAGCCTTATTTCCTCGACCTCTCTTACAACCAGCAGTGGCCAGGAGATGCACTCCTGGTCAAGGAGACTGGGGCAGAAGTCCACTGTGAATCTGTCAAGATCGTTTTTGCTATGCTAGTAAACAAAAGATAGGTGCCCTGGCCCTGGGCCTTCTTCCTTTATCCCTATCCTGGATGCAGATGTGTCATCTGGAGCTGCAGCAGCCATTTGGTCATCATGAGGTAAAGACAGCATTACAGAGAAGCCACCTGTTTCCAACTTCTTAATAAATAAAAAAAAGATAACCTCTTATTTGCTATCCACTGCTAGGTTTTCTGCTCTTTGCCACTGAAATAATTGGTAACTATCCAGAAGGTGTAATTATTTCTATCTGAGGGGCTCAGGGAAAAGGTTTTACAGAAGAGATAATCCTTAAACTAAATCTTGGAAGATGACTGAATGCCGCCTTGCTTGAGCAGAAGGTGGAGCTGAGCAAAGGAATGAAACCTGCCACACACCTAAGGCACCTAAGGGTTGCAAAAACAAAGGTCTCTCTAGGGAGCAGGCCACACAATCAGCCTGCTCAGTGTTTCCATGAGGGTGTGTGGGGCTGGGGGTCTGCGGGAATAAGGATGGGCTCGCAGCCAATCTGGAGACAGAGCAGCCACGGACAGTCCCGTGAGCCCCGCAAAGCAAGGGAGTGGAGGCACCCCCGGGCCTGTGTGCAGGGCCGCACAGCCCACCAGACACGGGTAAGCGCCACGAGGCCCAGTTCGTCTCCATCATGCAGAGAGGCCACAGCTTGGCTGCAGAACCAGGCAGACACAGCCTGGAGTGGCTCTGCCAGTGGAAAGGCACATGGCGATGGCCGTTCCGTGATGGCCCTGGTCTGACTCTCTCATCTATGAAACACGCTTCACAGGCGGCAGCTGAGACTTCATTAGACGACGGACCAAATACACAGGCAACCGCAAACGGGAACCCTTCCGCCGACCTACATCCCTGATCAGAACAAAGCCGGCGCAGGCGTGAGTCCGCCCCCCGCGCTCCGGCCAGCGTGCCCCACCTGACGATGGGCAGCTTGGTGAAGGGCACCGGCGGCAGCGCGAGCCCATCTGGGAGGGTGAGGAGCTCCATGGTCCCGGGACACTTGGAGGTGTAGTTCTCCAGGCTCTGTGTCACATCCTTTTTTTCTGATGAAAAAACAAAAATAAAGGTTAATTAAACCAAAGAAAAAGGAGGGGAGGGTGATTTTTTTTTTGCTCTTTTTTGAGCAAAAATAAAATTCTTAACCCAATACTTGACAGTCCAACGAGTCCAATCTTCTGACAGAAATAAAGGGGCAGCAACCACAAGAGACGAAAGGAAGACAGAAGCTCTGTTTAGTTTCTTTAAATCACCAGTGGCTGCTCCACGTAAGGGTCTGTGGATAAAAAGGAAATTAAGCTACCATCTCCTAGGAGATTTCATTTTCCAAGAGAATAAAACCTTATCAAATTTCAAGAAAGTCGATGGGCAGGCAGGACTAGAGAATTGGTACATTTTATTACTTAACAAATATTTTTCCAGCAATAACTAGGTACCAAGCAAAATGCCAGGGCCTGTCCCGAAGGAGTGCACAGTCCATCTGTATAACAGATATTTAAGCAAATAATTACAAATCAATATTTTTATTTAAAAGTAAAGCTTTGTGAGATGAGGCTGCTTTTCTCCACCTCACCCCCATGCCTCTCACTAGGAAGAGGAGGGGAGGATGCAAGTAATAGCGAAAGTTTGCTCATCAGCCACAAGCGGCTCTAGACACAAGCTCACAGACTCCATGACTCCCCGGAGCTCAAGAGTGCTTCCTGCTGGAAAACCCATGGTAATTCGGGAAGGCAGGCATCACTGTGCCCGTTTTGCAAATGAGAAAACTGAGCCCAAATGAAGTGAAAGGACATGTCAAAAATCCCAACTTTGGGGCTTCCCTGGTGGCTCAGTGGTAAAGAGTCTGCCTGCCAATTCAGGGGACAGGGGTTTGATTTCTGTATTGGGAAGATCCCACATGCCTCAGAGTAGCTGAGCCTGGGCACCGCCACTCCTGAGCCCACGAGCCCTAGAGCCCTGCTCTGCAACAAGAGAAGCCACTGCAAAGAGAAGCCTGCGCACCGCCCCCACTCACCACAACTAGAGGAAAGCTTGCGCAGCAACAAAGACTCAGAGGAACCAAAAATAAAGAAATACATAAATAAAATTATATTTGAAAAAAAATCCCATGTTTGCCCCTCAGCCTGTGGCATCCTCACTCCCACACTGTTTAGAAGAGAGAAGGCAGCAGGAATCGGAGGTCCACGCCCGGCCTGCTTCCTGTCCCGGCTGGCAGGGAGGGTGGAGGACTCGGGGGGAACAGGGGAGCAAAGCGCCAGGGTGAGGCTTCAGGCCAGGCAGTGAGCCCGGGTTCCAGGACACGGTCTGCTTCCTCCCCATCTGTGGGGTGACCACCTGAGTGGGAGCCCTGTCCTTCCATCTACAGAATGGCTAAGAGGGAAATGAGGTGACGGATTAAAAACAGGCTGGTGGACGCAAGGACGTCTGGGGAGGAACGGTAAGACTGTCACCACCGTCATGGGGCCTGCAGGCCCCGGAGGCTGGCATAGCACACAGGGAGGCCACGGGCTCCCGGACCGGAGACTGTACAGAACAATGGCCAGACGGGGGAGGCCCAGTTCTCAGGCATGTGTATTAGTGGGTTAAGGGGCTTTCTGTGTCTAAGCATCATTCCTTAGGGAGCAGGAAGGCAGGAAAGCAACCAGAATCAGCCTGGATATAATACAGTAATACCAATCTGCAGCACAAACAAAATTCTTTAATCAAATCATCTTCAACTTACAGGCGGTAAATCTCCCAAGACAGCGTATTGAAAAGCAGAGACATCACTTTACCGACAAAAGTCCAAATAGTCAAAGCTATGGTTTTTCCAGTAGTCATGTACGTATGTGAGAACTGGACCATAAAGAAAGCTGAGCACCAAAGAACTGATTCTTTTGAACTGTGGTGTTGCAGAAGACTCTTGAGAGTCCCTTGGACTGCAAGGAGGCCCAACCAGTCAATCCTAAAGGAAATCAGTCCTGAATATTCACCAGAGGGACTGATGCGGAAGTTCCAGCACTTTGGCCACTTGATGCGAAAAGCCAACTCACTGGAAAACACCTTGATGCTGGGAAAGACTGAGGGCAGGAGGAGAAGGGGACAACAGGATGAGACAGTTGGATGGCATCACCGGCTCAATGGACATGAGTCTGAGCAAACTCTGGGAGGGACTGAAGGACAGGGATGGCATGCTGCAGTGCACGGGGTCACAAAGAGTCGGACATGACTTGGCAACTGAACAACAAAATCTCCCAAAGGGCTCCCACTGAGAGCACTTTAGTGAGCTAACTTGCCTCACGTTGGGCAGAGCACTGATAGGCTGGGCACCTGATTAGGAGGAGCTTGCTCTCCCAGTAAGCCCTGCTGAAATGAAGACAGGTATGAATCTGTGAGTGATGCTCAATGCCTCCTACAAAGTTACCCAAGGAGAAAAGGTACTTGGCTGTCCTGCTGGCTGGCTGCAGTAAACAGGACGGACACAGTGGGGACGTGGACAGCTGTGGGCCTCATTGCAGGGTCTCCGGCTGAGAACTTCCCCAGTCTGGGCCTTAGCCTCTCCTTTTGGTCACTTCTCCCGGCCAGGATTTCCCATGTGGGATATCAGGCTGGCTGTGAAAGCCAGGTAAAGGGTGAACACATGTTCACTTATTTCCCTCGGTCTCAACAGACCCCTGCTCTCCAGCCGAGCCCATGACTCCAGCCACATGCACTTGCCTTCTCCTCCATCAGGGGAAACCCTATTGCTCTCGAGAGATGACAGACAGGCAGCCACCTGCCTCTGGAGCAGAGCAGGGGCTCCAGAGACACAACCAACTCATGAGCTACTTTCCAGCTAACTCTCCCAGGAGTGATCTGCACCCGTAAGGCAACACAACTGCAGCAGGGAGAACAGGGCTGCCTTCCAGGAAAACGGACTGTCACACAACTTCATGTGTGTCTGCAATGTGGGGCCTTCTCCAGGACACAGGGTTCCTCAGAGACACGAGACATCTGCTGGAGAAACTTCACGACTGACAACAAAGGATGAACACACGTTTACTGGGCAGAAAAGGAGGCTTCGTGTCCAGGGGAAGAAATGTAGAAACCCTCAGAGATGGAAAATGACAGAGCATGCTCAGATCTGCTGCAGGCAGCCTGCACGTCCACGGCACAGTCCACGGGGCCAGCGCTGCTCTTAGCACAAAGCGCTGGGAAACACCTGTATCACTAGGATGATTACATGCACTGAGCACATGCTTTGGGCCAGATCCGATACTAGGCCCCTCAGAGGTGAGGCCCTGGGGAATACAGCAGAACTGCAAAGCCTCTCCATCCAAAACAGGCATGCGACACCCTCCCACAAAGTTCCTGCTCTGGAGAGAGGGTCTGGGCATTATCATCTCCTTTTGAAAGGTAATTAAAATGAACTCAGGGACATTGGTGTTAAATGCTATAAAAAATAATTATTAATATTGGGGTATAACATTAACATTGTGATTCTATTAGAAAATGTCCGGTTTTTTCACCAATGTATACTAAAGTGTGAAGGTGTGAAATGGAATGATGCCTCTGGGGTTTGTCTTTAAAATAATTCAACAAATTGGAAAAGTCAGAGATGAAGAAAGTGAAAGTTGCTCAGTCATGTCTGACTCTGCGACCCCATGGACCATGGAATTCTCCAGGCCAGAATACTGGAGTTGGTAGCGGTTCCTTCTCCGGGGGATCTTCCCAACCCAGGGATCAAACACAGGTCTCCTGCATTGTGAGCAGATTCTTTACCAGCTGAGCCACCAGGGAAGCCCAGAGATGAAGTAAATATATAAAAATCTTGATACTTTTGAATCTGGGTGACTGTTACATGGGAATTCATTTTATTGTTCTTTACACTACTATGTTGAAATTATTTCATGGTAAAAATATTTAATGAGCTTGATGCAGTGAAATGATTTGCTCCAGGTCATACAGAGAGGAAGAGATCTGAGATTCAATCCCAGTTGGCTGAGCCTTCCTGTCCCCACCGATCAGGCCTGATGATGGAGACCCAGCATTACCGAAACGGACACAGAAAGTCAAGGCCACAGAGGCTGCTCACCTCCGTTCCCCATGACAAGCTGAGGGGAAGCCTGGGACCAACCCAAACGTCCTAACCACACGACAGGGCCACTGGGACGTGACGAGTCCTTAATGAATGTCACTAAAAATCAACCATCTTAGCTTACCCTGGCTGCCGTGACAAAGCACCCTCAATCCTAACTTGAAGAGTAAACATTTACTTCTCACAGTTCTGGACACTGGGAGGCCCAAGATCAAGATGCCCGCAGATCCAGTTCCTGGTTTGCAGACGTCCACTTCTCATCGCGGCCTCACCTGGCCTTTCCTCAGGTTCGTGGGCACAGAGGGAGGAAGGGCACCCCCCCCCAATCTAAACCAGTCACCTCCCAAAGACCCCCCCCCCCCGCCGAACACCACCACCATGGGAGTCGGGAGTTCGACGCGTGAATCTGGAGCAGACACAAATACACAGTGACATCAGCAGGTCTTGCTCAATTCCAACCAGAACATCCAAGAATTATTTCGGGCAAACTGTAGCACCTAATACGCTTGAGAGCTTTTTCCATCCGAGAAACTGAAGAAATCAGGCAAACAGAACATTTTTAATAAAAGCCTAGTTATCACCTAACCAGACTGTCCTTTACAGTAGAAAATACTATCATCAAGACTTCTGGCCACAGGCCACTTGCCATTTCAGGACTCGACACTGACATGAAAACCAGCACATCATGACTTCACAGTTTGACTGTTCTGGTCTCTCCTAAGTAATCATCTGAGACAACTATGTCTGCATTAGGTCAGTTATGATACTATAAACAGGTAGAGAAGAGAAAGAAGGATTGGCCACAAAGTTCGTTCTGGTTTTTCCATAATACAGAAAATCGATAAGATGTTATAGAAAAACTTTTTGGCCAAGCCAATGTAGCTTTTCCTCCAAATCCGAATTAAGGAAACTGATGAAGGAAGGTGGGGGAGAGGGAAGAATACAGAGGAAAAGCACAGATGTGGCCTGAAACAGTCAGAAATGACACTT